ATCACTTATTAAAACTAGAATTTTAAACTGATATCATCTGTTCACTTGGTGTTGTTTTGCCTGTATCTTTCCATTGTTATTTAGGACTACAATTGATCAGTCTCACATTGGCATATGTGCATCGTGTGTGGTAGGTGTAGACTACCTGGTTGAGGACCACGAGATGATAGCAACCGATGGTTAGAGACCCTGAATGACATGGCTCAAAACCGTTTGCAATGGCGCAGGTGCATACACTTTTTGGTGTTCTCCCAAATTCTAATCTCCTGAATACTCCTTGTCTCTTTTTTTCTCTTCCCAAATTTGTTTCACAGGATTATACTCTTTAAATAACATTTCCAAACCCTAATCTTTCCGATTACTACTTATACTTTTACTACCTCTACCACTACGGGATTTGAATCGACAACTGCATTTCTGTGCTAATATGGTATAGCAACTCGAACTGATGTACGTACGTACGAAATTCTACGTTGTTACTGACTGACTGACTGATCCTGTGTGAATTGCCTCCAACTGATGAGTCTGAAATAGGACAAAACGCATATCTTGGATTCCATTTCTAGCCATTATCTATCTCATATTTAGTGAATTCTTAAACAAACAAAAAGAAGAAACATCATTTGTATTCAATATCATCGTCAAAAATATTGATTTATCTTCAAAATTGATTCACAACATTACAATGACAATATTAGGTAGAAAGATCCTTTTTAAAGTAACTCCTTAATAAACCTTAAATGATTTATTAATGTAATAAGTTTTGTTTCCTTGACATAGAAGTAAACAATACCGATGACCTTGAACGATTTTTCAGCCAATCAGAAAATAATGTTTAATTATAAATCAATTTATATTATAAAAGGACAATGTAAAAGAATAAAGGTTAAACAATTTCAATGGTTAAAATCATGAGTTAATTGAAACTAGACCATCATGAAAAACCTGGAAGAACTGGATGGCTGTTTTATCCTATTGTGGCACTGTTCAGCAGTGTGCATTCACGACCTTGCCTCGTGAGATTCGATGAGTAGAAAAATTATATTTCTGGTTGTTATAACAGTTAGTTTTCCAATGTTTACATGTATGGGACATTAATTTACCTTAAACGATTATCTACACTAGATTCCATCTCATTGTGTCTATTCTACAGAACTTCCACATAACTCAGATGATTAAGAACACGTGATTCGCTTGACTAGAATGTCAATACATTTTCATACCAAAAACCCCACACAATCCAACAACAATGAACAATCAACAATAATCATTAGGGGAATATATAACTCATTTGACACGTTTCAGAGTATCTACATGTCTAACCATGCAGACGACCAATCATTATCACTTTCACCCACATATCACTGGTGTTTCGTAACTTAATGTAAGCCACATCTTCACAGTAAGTAAATAAATGGCCGGAATTAAAGTTGTGTTAATTTAATTTCGGTTATTTATTTAATTACTCCGAAGAAGTAGCTTATATTAGGTTGCGAAACATCAGGAATTAAAATGTTTTACTTATTGGGACATAACAACAAATATATTAATTATTAACTCTATACCTAATGTTCAATTGATTTGAAATGATCAAGTCCATCTTTGGTATAGATACCTTTGGTGAGACGATAATTTATGGACGAACCGATCAGATATAAGATAACAGGTCTTAGATTTTGGCGGGAAATTCACCCATCCATTTGGATAAATGGAGTTTTGGCATTATAGCTGATGTCAGTTCGTGATGAAAACTCTAAATCTAATTCCTAACTTTAACCCTGTCAACTGTAAATCATAATTACAATTCCTCACACAGGTTTATACCCCCCATTTAGTCGTGTTTATTAGGTGGACATTCTGAAGATCAGTTTAGCATCGTTCAAATATCGTCCATAAATTATAGTCTCACGGTGAGACTTCAATATAAGGTCGAAGTTGAATAATTCTGAAAAAATAACCCTCACATGTTATAATCAACTAGAAAAGTTATTGTGAATGCAAAAATTTATATGGAAAATTACAAGGGACTATCGATTATAAATAGTTGACTTTTTCTATTTGTTAAAAGAAACAAAACGTTTAAGCATAAATTCAACCACATGACCATATATATCTTCACTTCTCTCATATTTAGAACTAAGGTAGAAGCTTTTATTTATTTATTTAAACATATAAACATTGGTACAAGGAGGCACCAAATACATATGCGCCACACAAATCTCATTCGATGTGTGTGAGGGTTGTGATACTGAACGAGTGCCCAAACCGAAACAGGTGATTTTCTTAGGGGGCCACACCCGGAGCTTTTGACATGAAGGTCTGGCCCACAAGGTAATGGAGCATCGTAAGGAGATGCAATCCCATGGTAACCGGTGACCAACGATTGGTCCATACGCCATTTGTTCCTTCAGGATACTAGAGCCCATGTGCACCATTGGTTTGGAATCAAGGTTTTCCAACTCCCCTAGGCGGACTCTCCATGTCCATCAACCCGGTTAAAGCGCCAGACATCCGCTTTTCGTCCTCTCAGTTCTGTAAACAACACCCCCGCCACGAGAAGGTAGTAAGACTTCCCTGGCAGAGGCTATATACCCGTGGCCATGTGAAAGCATCTTGAGAGGGAGAGCGGACTCTCTCCACTCTCGGCCGTACCAGGGCATTTGGGGGCTCACTTTACACTTATCAAACCAGTGACCTTCACGTGACTGATAACATGAGTGAGTCAAAGTTTTTATAGGAAATTGATGAACACTAATTGACCGAAAATTAGGATTCACCATGTGTCTGTTCTCACACTATCCCAAGATGAATGTCTTATTGATTCATTAAACACAAAACTCCCTATCACAGAATGTTAATTGTACACCTAGTTATGGTTTCAGCCTAGATATCTTTAGTTGGATAAGTAACGATAATGTTGATATAAAATTGGTTTGTGTATTAATAGATCCAAAACTTATTTAGAGGATGATAAATGCTGCATAGTGTACACACATTCCATTAAAAATTGAATTTCAAATATTTCACCAACTTTCTACTATGAATTAATCAGTGTAACGCAATTTATTGACTGGTATTAGGTCAAACCCACGTAGGTTATTAAAGTTAACTTCTGGACAGACCATTCTATTCTTTTTTTTTCTCAAGCTATATTTTGACTTTATTATCACTGATTCGATTATTAATCCTGACTGTTTTCATATGATTGCTTGCCCTATTCATTTAGTGTTTGTAATTCATATTTGTCTGAATATAAATATTGTGTCACACTTGATCAAAACGAGTTAGTTCATTTGCTTTCTCCGCTGAGTGTCACTTCGTTTCTCTGATTGTCTATTCATATCAATGAATGTATATAATATATGTATTCAAAATACATTCCCGCATTTGGCTTATTTTATTCCGTTATTCTCTAATGTGAATTAAGTTAATAAGAATATAAAGGTTGACAGTATGTATATTTCGATAACAAACAGCATACGATCTAACTGGAGTCAAATATACGACTACAAAAGCAGTACACCGGATGGAAACTATAAAGATAATGAACTGTTAAGGATAAAAATAACACTTGAAAATGCATACTTCATTTACCAAACAAAAAATAACACACCTATTGTACAATCAAAACGTTTTGGATAACTTCAATTAAGTAAACCTTATTCTATGTATCATTATTAAGGTCTGACCTGATTATTTCAAATAAATTAAACATTGGATAGATTGTTATAAGTAAAATTTCTGACGTTTCGTGACTTAATGTAACCCACTTCTTCAGAGAATAAATAACCAAATCAAATTAATTAGTTTAAATAGTATAAACGTACAAAGCAAGAATATTTGCTGTGATCAATCAAAAACCACATGACACTGACTTGGTCAGTGTTACGTCATTCCGGTCAAGGTGATTTATATGAGGCATGTTTGTATATTTGTATGTACGGATGGTAAAGGATGGAATATACGATATTTGTGGTGAGAAAGGATAGAGTTGGATTTGTATGTACGATAATGGTGTGAAATGTGAGAATAGAATCAGACATACTAGCTCGGATAGATGGTCCAAGTCAGATAGATAGTGAGACTTTGTTTTTATTGAGGGCAGTAAGATTAAGCAATATATGAAAAGCTTCAGCCACTCACCTTTCTTTATAGTTGGAAAAGCTGTTTTGTATTATTTTGATGTTTTTAATATCGATTTGATAGTTGATAAAAATGATATGAACTGCTATTTCTGATTTAATTTTGAATCTTCCGAGTACCATGGTTTCTTTGTGTACCTAACATGTTCTTTAGCTCAAGTCAATATTTCATGAGATGACTCTCTAATATTAGAAGATATCACAATCGACACATCCTAATTTGTAGACACAAATGTATGTTAACATAAAGGGGATATTTTTGCCTTTAAGAGAACTAAAGTATTTCGAAGAGTATGTTTTATTTATGAACTTTATATTCTATTGAATAATGAATTGTCAAGAAAATCTCTCGTTCTAACGGACAATCTAAACATCGATACTCTTTATTCCAACTAAGTCAATTTTATTTTCAGAAAGGGTTTTGTGGAGATTTTATTAATTTTATAGTTGAATTCATAAGTCGATTGAAGCTAGACCACCATGGAAAACCTGGAAGCACTGAACGGCCGTTTCGTCTTAGCAGTGCGCATCCACGACCCCTCCTAGCGAGATTCGAACCCAGGACGTATCAGTCTCGGGAGCGAACGCTTAACCAACGGTGTTAATGTTTAATTTCAACTAATCCACGAAATTGCCAGCTCAATGGTCTAAAGATTAAGCGTTCGTGTGCGAGACTGATAGGTCCTGAGTTCAAATCTCACGAGACAGAATCATGGTTACGCACTGTTGGGGAGTTCCACAATAGGACGAAACGGCCGTCCAATTTTTCCAAGTTTCCCATACTGGTCTAGCTTCAATTGACTTATAAATTCATCAAATTTATTTGTTTACCAAAATGGTTAAAAATAATCTTCTTTTCAATAATAGAATTTATGCATAGATTACATAACTGTAATAATAGTGATAATTATAATCATTACGATGTTTATTATTCTTATTACTATTCTTTACAAACACACTTAAGTGAATAGCAGAGACAGAGAGAGAGAGAAAGAGAAAGTAATAGATATAATGGTGTGAAACAAAATGTTTCTTTTATAGTTTTTTTTTCAATACAAGCATAAATACATAATTCACTAATTTATAAAGAAAACAGTGAACAAATTGCCGTTAGCTAGTTAGTTTATACTTTGCATAATGTATAGAAAATTCTGAAGTCTTCATACACAAAAAGAAGGGAAATAAAAAAAAATGAATAGGACCAAGATGTTTTTTTTAAACACACACACACACACACTTGGGAAGCATGAAAATCAGATTGAGGGGGGAGAGATAGAGAAAAAGAGAGAGGGGGGAAGGTAGGCAAAAACAATTCTGTATACATGGAAATTAGATAAAATAACATTTTAATGTGAACTAATAGTTTGTTGCTTTACTGTTGATTCTATCATGATATTATTCAATGATTCTGTATCATTAGGCGATGTTTTCTCATTGTTATTTGAAGGAGACACAATGACATTTTCATCAGTAGTATAGTGAAGATGATTATCATTATTATCATGTTCGAAATGATTGGAATCATGACTAAAATGAAACAAAAAAGAATAAGAAAAAATGATGAGTTTGTAATACCATGGTAAATCTCTTTCTTTCACTCTAAATATTGCGTCATTCAAATATTTGATTTAAAAGCTTACAGGTCAGTTAGTGAGTTTCAATGTAGAACTTGGCATCTGTGTATATCGATTCCAGTCCCCATAACCCCATAAAAACGGTGAGATGAAATTATTAAGGCAAATCTCAGAGTATTAAAAATATTGACAGTATAATTGATAATAGGAAAGATTAAGCAACCAAGATAAAAGTCGAGAAAATACAAATCAGTGAAATGATTAAAAAAAATTGAGGAATTCAGAAGCTCAGAATTTGAGAGAAGAAAAGAATGGGTGCATCTAACCCAGAGCAAACGCTTCTGAGCCGTCATTCAAATTTTCTAACCGTTGGTTACGGTAATCATGTGGAACACAACCAAGTAGTATGGATCCACCTACATGACTCAGCCCAATTGTCAATGACTTCATGGGGTGATGCCATGTTTTGTTTTCATCGATCATGACATTTCAACCTACTCCTACATCAGCTATCATCGTGCTTAGAGGTAGACGGTGAAAAAGAATACGGTAATACATTTCCGTCGATAAAGCCTCATTATCTCGTAAGTTGGTTTATCATACTACCCAATACCCTGCGTCCAACTTCAGAGTTGCTAAGAAGGTTTAAACTAATAGTTGTATGGTGTTTGTTACTTGTACAGACGGATATGAGTAGTACGTAGTAGGAAGTGATAGTAAAATTCTTACTGGCAGAAGAGGAAAATGAGAAAGGAAAAACAGCCGGAGTAACAACAGCAAAGGAAGAATGATGGGATTTGTAAGAGACAATTCAAGGAAGATAAATATGTGCTGTACTTAGTGTATTGATTTCATATTTGAAAAATGCAGTGCGTAATCTTGCAAATCAAAATTTAATTTCCCTGCTCAAGTTGTTGTTGTTCGTTACAGTAGCATTAATGATCACGACAACGGTCTAACACTGGAGAATATGGTTCAAAGAGAACGGACAGATTTGAGGGGAAAAAAGTGTGAAATAAAATTGAAACTGAAGGCTTACAGTAAGATAAAGAGTAAGTAGATCTGTGCCTCTGTGAGTGATTATGAACTAATTCAACTGGGGCCTACAAGTAATGATTACAATTATAACGCGGATCTTGAGCAGGTAGTTGGAAAATACTAACAAAAGCCAACCAATTAGTCAATGATATCATAAGCTGATGATATGTCTTAATTTGACCGCCCTTAGTTTTCTTTCAACTTATATTCCCACTCTGGATAACATTTGAAGCAGAAACAGGCAGTCGCTGGGCATAACTAACACATGTCCAATCCACAGTCCATGAGGATTCACAGTCTAATAAACTAATTCGCCATATTTGCCTACTATACCCCAATCTCAATATTCCTTACTCGTTTGTTCCAGAATACCCAAAGAATGTTTTGAAAACAATTATAATCAATGGGTATGAAAAATGGTTATTAGGAATAAGGAATATTCTCAGGTTACTAGTATTCAAACATAGATATCTTTAAAGCATTGCTTGCGTATTTTCTGGATCACCGAGTAAGAAATCTCTGCGTTAAGAATAGGGCATTACATAAGGATGGAAAAACGATTGAATATGTAGTAAATTCTCATCAATTGAAGTGGATGGGACATATATTGCGTATAATCAACCACAGCCTACCTCGACACGCTACGTTGTCTGATATGGGAATAGGTTGGAAGGAAGATAGAGACGCCCTAACCAAGACGTGGCATCAATCCATCAAAACAATGACGATTGGATTGAGTTATATACTTGGGCGCATACTACCTGGTTTAGTCCGCATGATTATTGCAACTAATGGTTGGAAACTTTGAACGACATGGCTCAAAATCGTTTGCAATGGTGCAGGTGAATCCACTCTTTGTCTCCCCCTAAAATTCTAAGCTTTTGACTTCCCAATGATTTTTTTGTTTCCCTAATTTTTTTCATGAATGGTAACATGTGTGCTTAATCTTTTCTATTACCATATATACTGTGATGTATAGTGCTTAAGTCTGTCGATAAAACTAGTATGTACCACCAAATAGACGTGGATCGCTTGTCAAAAGAAGATTGAAATTGAGAGAAGGAAGATGGACAACAGAAAGGAATCGAAATGAAAACCAAATCAGAAGAACCATTAGGGATGTAAAGGACACCTGAAAGACGTACAAATGATTTATTTTCACATTTTACTAAACCACTGTGTGATTGCGCATTAAATAATAAATCATTTATACCCATCTGAGTGTTAGTTCCCTCATTATGCTAGTGCAATATGAAAGCTTGAACCAACGTATACGTATCCCAGGTTCTAAATTGCTTATGACTGTCTAATTCACTAACTTTGAATAAAGAAATATATATGACATGTTTTCCAACTATTGTATCATATTTCTATTCAATTATGGTGTTTCTTTGATTACATCATTCAATGGAGACTTCAATTCACTCATCATGAAAAAAATTACAAGAAAATATTATATTGTTATCGAGTTGTCAAGAGATCCAATTAATTTCATAATCTTAACTTAATAGAATGAAAGTTGTAATAGTAGACTTGATAATAAATTATCCATATATACTACAGTACATTTAAAAAGAAAAGAGCTACTGATACATTTAAAGTAGTACCGAAGAAAAAAAACTTATAGACTTACAGAGACTGTGTAGGAATCTCTCCATTGGATAACATCGATTGATCAGGATCTTCTATATTTTCAATCTGTGTCACAGCAATCCACTTGCCTGATACTATATTCTTATTTCCATATATCATTGTTTGTTTTTGTCCTTGTGATGATTCAGTATTAGATTGATTATGTATATCCGTTGAAACAGATGTAACATCACCACTAGCGGTGACCGATATTGATGTGTCACCATCATCGTTACCACCACCACCACCACCACCATTACTAATCAAATCCATATTACTAGCTAAGAAAGCGTCTGCTTCACGTTCTTCACGAATACGAATTAATCTACCATACTCTCGTTGAAGATCAGCATTTCGTTTTTGTTGACGTTCAACATCAGCTTCCAAAACCTGAAAAAATAAATATATGTTGAAAGTAATTGATATAGGAATAAAAACTTTTCATAATTTCAATTGTTTCCTGACTAGAAAAACACAAACATGCTACTTACATCAGAACGTCTAGCGATAGCGCATAACTCTTGCTCGTGAAGTCGTTCATATGTGGTTAATTCCATTTGACTTTGTTCAATTTGATCGACACTTTCTTCAATGGCTTTCATTAAGGTTTGTGCACGTGACTAAAAATGGATAATAGGAGAAATGTGAGTTAGTTATTTTATGGAATAGGATATGAAATAAAAAAAGATTATTAAGTCTTCAGTTTAGAAAACAGAACTGGAGAGCCACCTAATGTTAACTGGAAAATATACAGTAAATAATGTTGTGACTGGTAGAGTTCAAACGTGTTTAAAGTGAAGGAGCATAGGCCGCTCACCAGCGTTCTCCATCCAACCCTGTCCTGGGCAATCCTTTCTAGCTCCGTCCAGTTGTAATTCATCGTTTTCATATCTGCTTCTATTATCCGACGCAATGTGTTCTTTGGCCTTCCTCTTTTTCGCTTCCCTTCAGGATTCCAAGTTAGGGCTTGCCTCGTGATGCAGTTTGACGATTTGCGTAATGTATGTCCTATCCATTTCCATCGTCTTTTCCTAATTTCTTCTTCAGCTGGAAGTTGGTTTGTTCTCTCCCACAGAAGGCTAACTCGTTAAAAAAACGCTTACCAGAAAAATAAGCAAAACACACTGCATACTATATTCACAAGTATACTACCAACAAGCGACAGTGTGTAAGGTTGGGCAACTACATTTCATCAAATCATCCCATAGATATGACAAAAAATTAGGTCTCCGAACTTATTTTCGGCGGGTGAATACCTTGAGGAATTTAATAAAGCCTTGATAAAATGTATACTCATTTTTTGCACACATATGTACAAATGACAGAGTTTGAAACAACTTGATCAACAAATTTACTAGGTCCAAAATAATTTAAAGAGATTGTACATTACAGATTACCTGATATCCACCTAACAGTATCCTGAGTTTCTTCTCCAGTTTTGCTGCTCGTTTAGCTTCTTCAGCCATAAGATGACGAAGTTGATCCAATCGTTTCTCGTGTGATTCAATCCGATCACGTTTTGTTACTAAGTTAGCTCGTGTATAACGCCTATGTGCTGGCAAATATAAAACTTGGCTTAAACACTCATGCCAAACTTTAGCATATGCTTCAGCTGATAATTCACCATGTCCCATACCATTTCGAACGACATGCATCTCCTCTTCCAATAAATTTTCCGCCTGTAATTGGTTTGAAATATTACTACAACATTATAAGCTACTTACAAAATCAATCAGTAGTATGTAATAAAAAGCAGAAATGTAATAAGAACATCATTTGGTATGGAATATTTTTAGTTTCTAGTCAAAATCGTGAAACGACCATCTAAAACTACGAAGATATAGGGTGACACTTGAAGGTCATTAATCCAACCCTTAGGTAAGGAGTAGTGAATACTTATAATTGAGGAGTCTCATATACTACAACGAAACAGACGTTCGATACTCTCTCGTTTTCTAACGTGAATCAATTTGGGAAGTAAATGAACTTTAAAAAAATTTGTCTTAAGATTTATTAAAGCAGAAAGTATCTCGGCATATGTAACCAATTTTCGGCATTTCACCCACATATTTACCATCAATAACCTAACCGTGGCTGATACCCTGACGGAGTGGTTGGGATTCTGTTTCCTGACAACCTAATCCAGTCATATTTAATAAAAAATACTTGTCCCTATCAGTCAGTCAGTAACAACGTAGAACTTCGTAGGTACATACATCAGTTCGAGTTGCCACACCACATTAGCACAGAGTTGCAGTGGTCGATTCAAATCCCGTAGTGGTAGAGGTAATAAGAGTATAAGCAGTAGGTCCTACCATGCCAGGTAGATTAGTTGGCAGACAGTAAGACTAGAAGTAACAGACTCAAGATTTGAGAATGAAGTTATACTGCGGTATGATGGTAGTAAATTGTTTTCATCATACAACTAGCATTTGAAGCAATGGCGTTTACCTACAATGACAAAAGAGAATTGAAAAGATAGCACCTGAATATGGAACATCTAACATTTCTCCGCATGTTCGTGTTTCAGGTGAGAAGCCTTTAAAGTACAAAGCTAAGAAACCGAAAACTCACACAAGGGCCATACGTTTCAGGCCTTAAGTAATTGTCCCTTACGCTATGTGGTTACGCTTCCTATTCCATAAGATCATTATTAATCCAGTATTCTTTTCACGTATCTAAACGAGTATCCTCCCTCAATGTGGGCAGCCAAGATGTAACAACTATCTACATACTTCTAGCAACACTCGACATCATAATATGATTACAAAAAGAGTCCATAAGACAGCAAAACAGAATTATCACGTTAAATACAAAAGACATTTAAAAATGCCACATACACACAGACATAAACAACGTACCATTTTCAAATCATCCGGAACAAACTGTTCATATGGACAATCTTTCAAAAAACTTTCATGTGTAGCTTTTATCTGTTGTAAATAACGTCGCTGTTGACTAGCTGGAGCAACACCACTGCCACCACTTGGACCAGTAGTTTGCTTAGCTGCATCCAACAATTGATTTGGTGGTGGGTTGTTTAAATTATCATAATGCATCATTGTTACCATTTCTTGTTTAATCAACTCTTCAGCCTAATAAGAGTGAAAAAAAAACATTTTACAAAAAAGAATGGAAACCACAGTCAGTTATTAATAAATAGTGTAGGAGGGTAAGAAAAAGGTAAGGAGGGTAAAAAAAAGAACAATAAGGAAGAGATTGGTGTAAGTAGTGTAGTAATAATAATAGTAGTAATGATGGGGGAACGGAAAGGTACAATCAGAAGAAATCTTTCAGTTAAGGAAGATACACTCATTTTTTATGAAGAAAGTAGAGGAAGGTTACAGCAGGATCGTCACTGGCTTCTATTCTGAACCATATCTGATAACGTCTCAAGCCACTGTGTAGCACCATCTCTCAGACCCCAACCAGGGAGTCGTGAAGGACCAACAGAAGCCAGTCCTTTGCAGCTTTCTTTCATACCACGACACCATGTCATGCACTGACCACCTCTCCGATTCTTCCAACCAGTCCCAGAGTCGGAAAATAATGCACGACGTGGAATTCTCTGGGACGACATTCGGAGAACATGTCCAAGCCACCGAAGTCGGTGTTTCACGATGGTGACACGAATTGCATTATCGTCTCTGTGCCCGAACACACGATGCCGAACCTCTGCATTACTAACATGGTGTTGTCACTGGATGTCAGCAATCCTTCGGAGACAACGATGATCGAGCACAGAGAGTCGTCTAACGTCCTCAACTCGGAGAGCCCAGGTTTCACAAGCATAGAGCAAAACTGCTCTCACCGACGCGTTGTAGACCTGACCTTTTACAGCCAGACTAACATCACGAAGGCGCCAAAGATGGCCCAGATCGACATAAGCCGCTCTGGCTTTCACAATACGTACATTGATTTCATCACTCACACCCCAACCAGCACTTATGCAGCTACCCAGATACACGAACTTCTCGACTATTTCTATCTGCTCACCATCCAAGGTGAGTACAGGATTAGAATCCTGCCAGTCTTGTAGAAGTACTTTGCACTTCGAAGGTGCAAAGCACATACCATACCTACGGACACTGATTGCCAACTGAATAAGTGCGGATTGCATGCCTTGGGCATTATCGCACAGTAAGACAATGTCATCCGCATACTCAAGGTCGAGAAGTCTTTCTCCAGGCAACAGATCCACACTGCCATTAATTACATCCATCAGAGCTGTTTCCAGAATGTCATCGATGGCAAAGTTGAAGAGGAATGGTGAGATCGGGCAACCCTGCCTAACCCCACTACTCGAATGGAACAATGGAGAAAGGTGGTTGTATGCCCTCACTCTGCCTGAGGTGTTTGTATATAGGGCCTTTAGGATGTCAATGAACTTCACAGACACACCCTTCTTAAATAGACAATCCCAGAGAACAGTCCTGTCCAACGAATCGAAGGCAGCCCTGATGTCAAGAAACACTACGATTGTTGGCCTTTGATAAGTATGGCGGTGTTCTAACATTTGGCGGAGGGTGAATATATGATCAATACATCCTCGACCAGAATGAGACCCAGCCTGCTCCTCGCGAGTCCATCTTTCTCGGGTTTTGAACAACCTACGAAGTATGACGGAAGTCAAGAGCATGGACGCAATCGGAAGTAGACTTGGTTTCTAATCTTACTCCAACTCAAATCAATTTATAACGATTACAGTCTACACGTAAGAATTTTACAATGAATCCAATAAATCTACATGTAGCGTTATTTACAAAAACTACTAATACCACCATGATATATAATTGTCAGTGCTCTGCGGATGATGGTTGATTGATGCATATTAACAAAGCAATTTAGTAGATTCCTTAAGCAAAAAATAATAAGTTAGTATTAATCATATGTTTACTGGTAACTAGTTTACCGATGTAATTCCTGGGGTTCGAGTGAAAAGTTGTGACCATTCCCGTTCAAACATGTTAGCAATGAGCCAGTTACCCACAAATGGTACTGAAATATTGTTGTGAAATACCACTAATTGACTGAAGTTGGAAATACAGACAGTTGGATATTGACTGAGTGGTTTGAACGTTAAGGACTTTTTGCGAAACCTGAAGGTCTTGGGCTTGATCCCCAGTGGGATTATGGATGCTCATCACTGGAGAATACTGTATTAGGACCAAACAGCTATCCAATTCTTCCTGGCTGTCAAAGTAAGGTCATCCCATGATGTAAACCGCAAAATTATAATACAATTGACTCAGCTAGAATTCAAGCTTTATTATATTCATTAACGAAGAATGACTTAGCCCACTGAAGAGGTTATCAAGTATAGATTTCCTGAAAGTTTGAGGTGTCAGACAGAAGCTCAAAAACCAATGAGAAAACCTACACCTAAAACAATAAACTCGATAAATAGTACTAACATATTGATTATAGGGTTGGTTAATATCTAGATGTACTTTAACGATTTTATAGTGTATGCAAAAGAAAACCATTTCAACAATACCTTTTGTAAATCTGTCATATTCGCATCTTGTTGAGATAGTTGGTTAACTGAACCTGGAATATTACGCAAAATCGTATGGTTCACAGCTGATGGTCTAGGTAAAGATCGTCTAACAACTTGACTTCGTTTAGACCATTCCAATTCAGCGGCTTTAGCACGTTCTCTTTCAGATTGTCTATCTAAATCTGACTGATCTGGAATTCTTGAAGCAGTTCCCCTCTCCTCTTCCAATTGATCCATATCTACGTTAACACCTTCAACGTCATTATCATCAGCATCATCACCGTTAGGTTTAGTTTCATCAGGGAGAAATATTTCGAAATTATTCTTCGGTGTTGGTAGATTAGCTAAACTTTTGCGTAGATTTGCTTTTACACCATTTTGGTCATAATAGTCTACCATACCTTCGGAATGATTATTGTTACTAATATTATTAAGACCATCTAAATTATTTCCATCGATTGGATTTATATTCAAACGATTTCTTAGTGGTGTATTTGACACTGGGGGACCATAATTTTGTTCACCTTTTCTTAATGGACCAGGTGTATTATTAGCATCACCACCCATGAGAAGATTTGGAGTGCCTAAAATATATTTTTTTATTTATGATAGAACAAAACGGAAATTAAGGTATGAAAAAAGTGGGACTCTAATAGAGAGAGAAATACAACTACTAACAAGTATAGAACGAGGAGATGAACATGAAATAAAGAAATATTAAGTGAATACAAATGTCCTAGTAGGAAATGTTGTTAGAGTTCTATCAACTAGGCTCTACAATTATTGATTAACACCACATTGAGAACTAAATTCAGAAAGCCACAAGTTTTCTATACTACTCAAAACGTATAAATTTATCTATCTTTAGTTATTTTGGTGAGACAATAATTTATGGACGACCTTTGAGCGAAGATAGACTGACTTTGAGAGTGTCCACCTAATAACTAGAACCAAATGAAGGTTATAAACCTGTATGAAGAATTAGAATTATGATTTACAGTTGATGGGGTTAAGGTTAAGAATTAGATTTAGGGTTTTCATCACGAACTGACATAAGCTATAATTCCAAAACTCCATTTAGCCAAATGTGAGTGGATGAATTTCGCGCCAAAATCTAAGACCTGTTATCTTATATCTGATCGGTTTGTCTATAAATTATAATCTCGTCGTTTTCTTTTTCCAAACAGTTCATACAATCATCAGCATTATACACATTTACGAAGAGAGACCATTTGACTCAACTAAATATCCCAGACAAATTAATTCACATTCAATTCATAATTATATCAACTAATTTATCTCTCTTTCATAAAACTGAATGTTCAATCAGTGATCCTATGATAATATATCTATAATTGAAAACCTATGATACTTGAAAGTTCAATTGATTCAGTCTATATTATAACTAGGAATCAAAAATATAGAATATTATTGAGCAGAATACAAAAGATTCAGTAGATATTTAAATATCTTATCAATTATATTAAAATAAACATACGTTCTAATTTTCTTAAAATGAGGTATGTTTAATGCACTTAAACACTACAAGGGTTATTTATTAAGCATTAATGCTAACCATTTAAAACAAGCGGTATTTCATATATTCGTACATATTTGTTGAATCTCAAATGATTTTAGTTTTTGTCAGTGCTTCAATTAAACATAAGACAAGATTTGAGATGGTGAAGATTTGTAGCTCATGTAGATGATTAAGGTGGAATTTTGTTATTTGAGCTGGATGGTTTGGTTGTGAAGCTTTCATTGTTCTTCTGAACAACATTATTAACATAAACTTCAGGTAGACCTAACCATCAAGCCCAGAGAACAAAACTTCACCTAAGCGAAACGAAATTCTATTTTGATCTTCATAAAAACTTAACACTGCAGGATATATATATATAAAAACTGATCATCAGTATCGATTAGAGACATTCATTGTATAACTATATGAGTGATTTGTTTTGTCACTATGCAATGAGATGAGAAAAAATTCTCGGGTGCATCAAGGCAATTCACTTTACCACCACAAAACTGAAACTTTATTTATTAATAAGATGTTAAAAGGTTTGTACATTCGAATTGCAATCCTAGATACTTATCAACTGGTGTTGTTAGTTTTTAGTATAAGAATGCATGATTTACAGTTTATCATGTTAACTAAAATTTGGTTATTCAGTATACTACACATCTGCACTAACCTTGTAAGAAGTTTTTCCACACTACATACTCATTCATCAAGTAATACTACAAGGAATACATTTATCCCACCTTAATTGTAATGATTAACAGGATCTCTGAAAGTCCTCAAAAATCAGACTATTTAACACTGCCAGTAACTTCAAGATCACATACACATACAACTTTCCGAAGTTATTTTTATTAGCAATCATTGAAACAATGAATGAGTGGGTAAAAAAGCATAACAAATAGTAAATGTTTAATATTTTCATTAATACAAGAGGATGTTAGTCATCTTAGCCTTGGATCATCAATTCAGTTATCACACGTCTTTAACTGAAACATCTCATCCACTTGAAAAGAACTATTTTCCACTATGATTTATAACTGTAGACAAACTTTAACATTTCATGAGCCCTTTATACATTCTCTCTAAATTTCACTTAAAATCTTTTCAGATCAATTTTTGTATTCTCTGTATAGTGTAGTATAAATTTAGGGAACAACACAATTAAACATAGTCCAATAAGAAGTTACGACAATAGAACAAGTATACAGCTTGAATGAAAATTGACAATCAATTCTATGTTGACGGAATAAATTATTTATGCAACAGAATCATTCATATGTGAAAAACTTTAAACAATAAGATCAATCTGTTAGGAACATGTCATAATATTGACCATAAAAAGCAGGGAAATAAGTATAGTTCGGGGAAATAACAAGCTACTTTTCTTACATATGATGAGGATCTTAAGGCATATACCCATGACAAATTAATATTATTCAGAAGTGGTAACTCGGTGGTTAAGGCAATCGAATTTCAGTTATAAAGTCACAGGTTCGAAATTCCCTCTACCTAATTACGTTTCGGTGGACTAGTAATAATTCCAACCTTGCTTGAAGGCAAGTACACGAATCTATGCTTGATAATTGAGTTAATTCATTAGAGTATGTAGTTGAGAGCCATGTTTAAATCGTACAAAATTTAATGATACTAACCGACTGTAGCAAATTTCTGATTTACCACCTAAAAGCTGAATGACTAAACCCAATGTTTATTATTATTTAAACGAATAAACACTGGTACAAGGGGGCACCAAATATATATGTGCCACACAAATCATTCGATTTGTGTGAGGGCTGAGATGCTGACCGGGTGCCCAAACCGAAGTAGATGGTTCTCCTAGGGAGCCACTTCCTGGGCCTTTGACCTAGAGGTCTAATCCACAAGGCGACGTTACGAGATGAAGTACCATGGTAGCCCGCGATCAACAATAGGTTTATAAGCCTTTTTCTCTCAATATACTGGAGCCCATTCGCACCATTGATTTAGAATCAGTGTTTTCCAACTCCCTTAGACGGACCCTCTGTGTTCACCAACTCGGTTAAAGCGCCGGATGTCGGCTTTTCATCCTCTCAATTTCGTAAACAACACCCTCGCCACGAGAAGGCAGTGATCATATATGCGTGGCTATCTCAGAGCATTTCGAGATGGAAAGCAGACTCTCCTCACCTTTGGCCGTACCGGGGCATTTAATTAAAATATGAACTATCAATCCTGTTAGTAGAGATTAATATATGCACTAGTTTGAAATGAAACAATAGCATGTGGGATCTTTGGCACACTACAACAAGATTGCTTCCCAAATTTTAACATTTCTGTCTTTAATAACTAACTTAAAGAAAATTAAATTAGTTAAAGTCAATTCAATTATTTTCGAGTGTATGCAATAAAAAACCGGTAGATCTGTTTGTTCAGTTTAGACATAAAATAGATATGAACGTGAGAAAAATAAACGAAACAAAGTATGTCCAGAAAACTCATCATTGATTAATCAAGTTCACAACAATCCTTCAAGTATCTTTTTATAAACCATGGTTTTTCTATTAACTTTGTAAATAAATATTTTTAAAAATGAAGCTCATTAGGTAAATTGTTAAGAGGCCGGGCTTTTGAAATAAAATAATAATTAAACAGAATGAGACAGAATTTTACTTTCTTTACAATTGGGAAAAAAAATAAACATAAATAAGTGTGAAATTTTGAGGAAAAAGAAAAACACAACATACCATTTTCAATGTTGCTGTTCGGTGTACGAAATGGAGTAGCACCAATTATTTGACTAGGAAGTAAAACATTCGGAGTTGCTAGAGTATTTGGTAAACGAGGCGTTGTACCAGAAAAATCAGATTCACCAACTAATGGAGTATTTTCACCACCTTTAAGAGGAGTTTGAACTTGTTGCAAAGCTAAAATATTTTGTGCTTCCTAGTAACCAAAAGTTTTAATAATAATGATATTAACAAATAGAAAATTTGACGAACAATTAAATGGGAAAAATATTATAGGAATATACATTATTTTATGAATAAAATTCACAAAAATAAAACTATGAAGTGATCGGTTGATTTAGGCTGCAACATACAGAAAAAAAGAAGACAATTCACATAGTCGCTTTATTACTTCAAATTAATTCTGCACTCTCTTGATCAAAAGTTAGTCAGTCCGACATCAACAACCTGTCACGTATGTGAATTGGTTCAAGTTACCACATCAGTACTTAATCGGAAAAAAAATGAATTACACACGCTTTTGATCTAGTTAATATTTACCATATATAATCTGCAAACACTTAAGTTTTTGCTTCGTCTACATGTATGTTCTGTTTCCTGAGTTTTAATATTCTTTTAAATAAACCCAAATTAATTTAGATAACGATTCCTAGTATAAACGTAATACTTCAAAAATGGCCAATATGAACATGAAAAAAATGTGTTAATATGATGACAATTTTGTTATTCTAAAGAAAAGAAAAACAACCTCTAATTAGCGATTATCGTAACCAGTGGTTGGAGATGTTGGATGACATGGTTCAGAATTGATCGCAATGATGCATAGGTTTTTTTTACCTTTTCGTCTCCACTAATATTTTTATTTCCAAAATCTCCTAACATCTGTTTTCTCTATACTGATTAGTTTCTACTACTATGGATAGTGTTAACATTTCTACAACTCTGGCATTTGACTTGATAATTTCATTTCACTGTGTTAAATTTATGTAGTAACTTGAACTGATGCATATACATTCCAAGTTCTACGTTGCGTATGACCGAAATGACTAAGTGAATTAGAATGAGTTACTTATATCAGCGACCGACAAAACTATATCAAATGATTGAAAATATTAGCTGGTGAGGAGGGATCCAACTCATTATCTCAAGTTACTAACTGGTCGAATGTTGAATGTTACAACCAAACACGAATTATGAATCAAACTTTTGGAAACCACGTATGCAATTTAAAATGACCTCTTATAGCGTCCGTACACTAATGCAGACTGCACAACAGATAGACTTGTGTGTGTATTTAAGTCTTAACATCGATGTCTATTTTCTATCCAAGATTCGTATTCAAGACTCAAATGAAGTACCACACATTCACTCCCCATCTGTCTAATGAAAACGTTTGTTTCACGTGCGTTTGTCCGGAGACCCTATGGCATCTTCGTCTGGTTTTGCTGGAGCTGGTCTTGCACTAAGTGCTGAAGTTGGGGTAGCACTAATTGATTGGATCCTAATTACCACTTGGCTATGTGTTTTTAGATAGCCTACTAAACCAGAATTAACTACTCAAATATAGTCGAAGGACTACAATGTCCGCTCCAATCAACCACTGTATGATCAGCGCTAGGGTTCTTGATTACTATTTGGATATTAGTTGGCATACACTGTTATCTTACCTGTACTCTTTTAATGCAAAGAACTTAATATTAGCCATTCGAGAGAAGTAATCTTTATGCACTCAGCACAGATTACGTTACATGAATAATTACTAAGTGTATGTGTCAAAAATAAAGTTTAGAACATACTAGGGAATTTATCTTACCTAGCCCCTAGATGCTTTGGAAGGACCGAGGGTTGGGGTCGTTTGTCCACTTCTTCCGAGACGTCCTCACAAAGTTTGACAAGTAAGCTTTACTCACTCCGTTCGCGTGGTAGGGGTGTTTTATTACGAAAGTAAGAAGATAAGGTCAGTTTATGACATGGTAACGTAGTATAAAAGAGGGCTGTATAAGATTGGTAATAGTTGATTCTTTAGGACAACCTTACTGACTGAGGACTTAGAGGTAGTGTAACTCAATGGCTTGGAACATAATCAAATGTGGCTCGGAATAGAAGCGAGTGGGGATCCCATAAAAATTCCACTTTACATTCCTAGTAATAGTGAGATGAACTCCCTAAATTGAAAGAAATCCTTTAAGTTGTATTTTTAGACAAACTATTCTGGTTCATTCATTTTTGTTATGGTACCCCAATTCCATCTCTTATATTTTTCTTGATGTTATCTTATTTCTGTGGTGTATACGTTTGTTAGCTCCAAACTGTGCAAGAACTTAAGTGTGCTAAATATACAAAAATCGGAATAAAAACTTACTCTAGTCACAGAATCTATCACAGCCATTGGAGTGCGTTGAAGATTTAACGCAGGTGTTGCAAAACTACCGGTAGGATATTCCGGTAAAAGAGGATGTGTTGCAGAGCCCAATTCACCATCAGCATCTTCAATAGCCATTCTTACAGCATTTTCACCGGCTTGACCGACCTAATAGTTTTTTGTAAGACGATTCAAATAAACGAGTAATAATAAATATTAAAACAAAAAGATAGATGATAGAGTAATAATTAAGCATTAATCCCATGAGAGAGTGGATGATCTACAGTTGGTGTGTCATCAAATAGTTTACTTGTTGAGTGATTTCTAATTATGTTTATCATTATTTTATGTATTATGTATATAATGTCATTTTGTTTGGAGAAAAATCTCATCTACTATGTAAGTATCTTTCTAATATCAGTTCATCAGGGGTTTACAACAGTAAGTTAGTTTTGTACGCAGCCACCACTCGGTCGCATCGTAACATTGAATTTTATCTATCAGTGTTGTTTCCTTTCATTTTAAAAATCTAAAGTTCATTCAGATTAAGTTGCAGGAAAGTCCCAATTTGTACTAGTGGCCATAGGCATGGGACATTCGAACAAGGGAAGAAAAATGTAGTTTCCAATCAAACTCTAATTGATTTAGTGTTATGTTGTAGACAGATTGTTTCTAATTTCCCTTTTCCCCGATCACAATAAAACGATAAAAATGAAAATTCGATAAATAATGTTAAAAATAAGAAACCAAATTTTTAATCATTTGAGTTTGCAAAATAGTATCCACTTTAGTTGATTCGACATTATTGTGGGTGATTATTCTATGTGATATACTGATAGATAACTAATCTTTTCTAATGCTAAGATTCTATTATCTAGTTAAGCACATTCCTAAAAATTGCGTAACCTATTCAGTTAATAAGAGATCTAAGTGTTGGAACACCAAACACAAACAAAATTCAGGTAGACAAAGTAAAGAATATATACATATATATGGTTTCGAGTTACTTTCTATATTTCAATGCTAATGATGTTATCACCACGCAACCCGTCGACAACAAAATAATCTTGAACTAGTAACCCAGTAATCGAGATTTGTTTGTCTTAACCAATTATATCCATAAACTTAGAAGAGAAAAAACTGGCAAAAAAAATTAAGTAGGTTAAGGCCTAAACAAGTTGTCAGAGGAAAGTGGTATTTAAGGATACTGGTGTATTTATTTTATTCTACTAGATTTTCTATTAGGATACTTCGACAGATATTTATAGAAAGAAATTAATACTTGAAACAAAATAAGAAAACTTGGGTGGTAAAGAAAACACAGATTGAAAAAGTTAATCATGGCAGTCACTTTTAAATTATTTTATACGACGTAAAACTTAATTAGTGACAAGTAAAATGATCAAATTATGTAAAATAAAAGTTGATAAACTGACTTATTAATATTCAACTTTAAACTATTTAACGAAAATTATGACTATGTGTGGTCGACTTTTTTGATAACTTAGTAGATAAAAACAAAATTGTAGGAAACAAACTGCAAGTCAGTACTAAACTCAAAAGGCCGAAAAAGTTTTAAGCACCTGTAAGAAATGAAAAAGTAGATTAATGTAAAACTAGTAAAAATCTTGCATAAATGCCCATTGTTTCGTAGTTGATGATAAACGCGAATGCAATGCTCCAGTTTTATCCTTTTAATTTAAATTTATGCTGGTTTTTAGTATGATAAGTCCAATGTTATTGTTTCATTACCACAGTATGCACTTGTTATAAGTTGATAATTACAAAACCATTTGAAACATACTTTGATTAAATTTTCCAATTCCAGGTCAGATACTTGAGGAGCAGGAAGTACAAGTTTAGATCGTTTCAACAGTGGCTCATCCAAAGAATTCCCACGTTGCAAAATAACTCCAGGTAAATCAGATTGCATACGTTTAGCCTGACGTTCAGCATCCTTTTTACGCTCACGCTGAAAATTACCAAAATTACTAAAATGTGAGATTTGACGAATTTAGTGTTAGTTGTACATACTGAAATGGATAGATTAAACTGTAATACTCAAATCGGCAGAGGTCTTTAAGGATGGTGGTCCAATTTTAGCGATTAGGTTGACGAATATTTTAGCTAAAATCTGGAAGTTGGACGTTATCCCATCTGACTGGTCACAATCTCCGATCGTCCCAATATATAAGAGAGGGTTAAAATCATCTTGTGATAACCATAGAGGGATTAGTTTGACTAACACAGTATCTAAAGTACTAGCCTCAATAATTATTGGTCATCTAACTAAGACTCATGAACTGCAAATACGAGAAAATCAGGTTGGCTTTAGACCTGGTCGTGGATGCATCGACCACATATTCACTATTCGTAAAGTTTTAGAACACAGGTATGACTATCGGCGTCCGACAATGATAGTTTTTCTTGACTTAGAAGCAGCATTTGACTCCGCAGACCGTGAGATTTTGTGGCAGTGTCTGTCATTGAAAGGCGCACCTCAGACGTACATAAACCTTGTGAAGCCTCTTTACTAGAACACTGTTAGTCGAGTCAGAGCTTATGACGAACTGTCATCTGCTTTTGTAACCTCAAGTGGTGTCCCTCAAGGCTGTCTACTTTCTCAATTCTTGTTTAACTTCATCATAGACATACTGATGGAAATAGCATTCTCGTCGACTGAATTCTCGGGTATTGATCTCCTTCCAGGAGGTACACTTATCGACTTAGAATACGCAGATAATATAGTCCTGTTTAGTGAAGACGCTGATAAAATGCAGAGTCTTCAGGTAGCACTAAGTAACAACGCCAGAATGTTTGGAATGCGCTTCTCTCCCTCTAAATGCAAGTTGCTGCTTCAGGAATGGCCTGCGTCAACACCTAAACTAAAGATAGGGAGTGAAGTAGTCGAACGCGCTGACAACTTCACTTATCGTGGAAGTCTGATCAGCCCTAATGGGTTGGTGTCTGACGAAATCCCTACACGGATTCGAAAAGCTCGTTTGGCTTTTGCCAACTTACGTCACCTATGGCGAAGGCAAGATATCCGTCTATCAATTAAGAGACGAGTATACTGCGCGGCAGTCCGTTCTGTTTTAATTTAAGGCAGCGAAACATAGCCATTAAGAGTAGAAGACACTCGTAAGCTTCTAGTGGCCAAACCAAGACGTTGCATCAGTTTTTGAAGTCATTAACTTTTAGTTTGAGCCATGTTGGTAGATGCAGACTACTTGGTTGGGGTCCGCGTGACTATCGTAACCAATGATCGGAGACTCTTGGTGACATGGCTGAGAATAGATCACAATGGCGTAGGTGTATACACTCTCTATCTTCCCTTAAACTAAGAGTTTAAAATCGCTTTGTATTTTCCTTTCTATGAACTAACTCTTTCTTCCTGTACTACATCGTTATATACAATCTTTCTTTTATATATTACAACCATTGAATTAACTACTTCTATGAATCCGGTGTTCATCTTGCTGTGCTAATGCGGTATGGCAACTTGGACCGATGCATATATATGCCTGGCCCTACGTTGTAGCTGACTGACTGAATCGACAGTTATGTCACATGCTAAAACAAATTGACATCTACTTATTCAAATGAAGAATTAAATTCCCCCTACCAACGTACCAAGTTAACGACGACTATTTGGGCCCTAGGTAAATAAAACAATCGAATCTCGAGGAATTATACAAATGGTTAGCCGACTTATTTGATGTTATTTAAAATCGGTCCTGATGGGGTTGTGCCTACCCTTCTGGCTAACGTAATACATTTTAGTGCCGTATATAATAAAATACCTATCTTTAATTACGAAGAAATCTTCAGAAACCGAATTCGTACTTGTTAACACTGAAATAAACTGGGAAATTCTAGTGAATTTCCATAGCCTCTTTTGAGTTACTAAGTAGTTGGAAACTTTTTAGCAGCGAAATAACAGAAGATAGAAGGAACAGCCTTATTGTAGACTAGCAAGATGTTAATACAATTGTAATGAAAAATCATAGATGAGATAATAAAAAGGGAGAAAACGGGAACGACTAGTTAACAAGTAGTAGGTGGTCAATTATAAGGACTTAACAGTTAGTGTGAGACAAGTCAGTGACCTAATCTCAAACCAGGGGGCTGGAATGATAGATAGAACACTCAAGAAACAATTCGACTGACCTTGAGCAATAAACTTTGTAAAACTCCCAACACACAAGCACGAAACGGACGTATTATGAATGTGAATTTGATATAAATTACCCGAAAATAACATTTTGGTATAGAGATATGAAAAAAGGGTATTAAAAAGAGTAAGTTTTTGAAATACATAATCCAAAAACGAAAACAATGTGATGGCTTACCTTCTCCCTTTCCATGAAACTTTCTTTTTCGATATCTGAAAGTCTTAAACGTTGAAAGTCCATAGGTTTGATTTCTGGTTTTTCCCTACTAGTATCATAAAACCCTTTAGGAGGTTGCTTCTCAAATGGAATTTCGGAATTATAATCCATGCATGGCTTCGTTTTCGGTGCTAACCCTAAGAATGTTCCTAGACCAGCTGCTCGAAGTTCCCGACGTTTTTGCATCATAGCCATTCTTCGTGCAATCTCGAGCTGACGCTCTCTAGCTTTACGCTTTGCTTTTTTACCCTAAGATCACAAAGAAAAGTAAACGAAGAGTTAGATATGAGCCATGCAAATAAAATTTTTTACGTCTTTCAAATGTAAAGTGTATAAAAAAACAGATGTGAAAGGATTTTCAGACATGAATTTGATTTTAAAGAAAACGAATAATCGAAACCAGCATACACAAGAACAATTGATTTTACAGAACTGGACATGAGAGCACTTTCAAAGAATGAGAATCACCCTAATAGCCCCAACTTTTAGTCCATTGGCATGCAAACACGAGGAAAGTATGGAGGTACAGAGGTTTCATCACTAGAAGCGATTAACATGGATGGCAGGATGGCAAGCATAATAAGAGGATGCTCGGATAGACTTAATGGATTTGTGTTGAAACAATTAGAAACAGATTAATACAAGTGAAATGGCAGGCTGAAAAGTAAAACCGCATGGCTAATATCACTTTCAGAGAATCAGACAATAAATTATTTGCAAATACTGAAAGATAATAAAGTAATCGTTATCTGACTTGAGTTCGGATAACTTAGTTTGATCTACTACTAGTGTCCAACACTCAACCAAGACGAACTCTGTAAGCATGTCGAATGTAGAAGTTCGTAAAAACCCTAGTTTTCTTTTATTTACTTGAACATATATTGGTACAAATAAATACTTAAAAATTAAGAAAAACATAAGAGGTTGAAATTGTAAACAGGTAGAGAATATAATCAAAAAATAACCGAATGATCGAAAATAAGTGGATGAGCGTAGTACATTATGGGAGAAATTCAGTTTAGAAAATTAAAAGCAGAATAAACCCTGACAGTCAAACGAATTCCTCTTATTTCTATGAGTTAAAAGAATAACTCTACGGAAGAAGTATAAATACATCGAAAGCAACCGACCTGTGTATTGGCTAACCGTGCTCTGGCTTCTGAAAGCATTTCTAATTCATCTTCATCCATATCAACAGGATCTGGACGGGCAGGTTTAGTCTCCGGATTTGGATCAATTTCGCCTGGACGGAGGCGTTTAGGATCCTCCTCTGCAGATAACCCTTCTCTGTTTTGTGCTTTGTCCCTTTATTTTAAAATAATAATAAATTTGTGAGTTACAAAAGATATTCATAGCGTTCCAAACATTGGTTTGCAGTCCTTCCAACTATCGGAGCAATTGTTCGCCATTGAGTTGGCATAAGCTTTGCAAGGTGTAGTAACTTTTCATCTTCTTCACGGCTCCACTCTGTTTTCTTGACACTGGGATCAAGCCATTCGTACCACCTAGCTTTACACTGCTTAGCGGCTTTGCGGTGTAGCAAAGAAGCTATCCGTGCCCACTGATTCTTGCCATATTTCATAACAGCAGCTTTAAGAATTTCATCCTTAAAAGTAACTTAATATCCGAAATTTTACCTCAGTGTTCCTCCAAACACCCCCTTTGATGTTAATCCGAGGCATGATGAACGACTTGTAGCGATGTCTTCTGAAAAGGCGCTCTATATCCAATGCCTATGTCACGGGTTTGTATGAACCGTATGATTTATTTACACTCGCTTCCTGTCGTTTCGATGAGGTTTCACGTATTTTTAACAATCAATTGGTGGTAGCTAGCCACTCTACCGCACTAATTCTGGTCAGTTTATTAGTTATTTGTGGATTTGTATATCTTGTTGTATGAGTGAGACCGTTTGTCTCAGACCAGTGGGAATTCTGAATACCAGTAGTCATCGTATTGCCTGAAAAGTTGTTTGGTTGGAATGTTAATGTAATAACGTGATAAGTAAATTTCTAGGAGAAGACTGTCTCAAGAACAAATAAACAAGCTACTTAATCAGTAATGTGTTAGAAAACGGAAATTATGATGCGAAAGATAAGAAGTAGTTACTGACATGCAATAATGGTGACCATGGTCGTTTGCGAGACATCCATAGACACTCCTGGTTTAAGAGAGCTACGATAATCCTTTGATGAGTACGTGTTTGTCAATTCTCTCCTTAAAGCTATCCAACGATGAGGTTATGGCCACTTTGTCTGGGAGAGCACTTCAAATGGGGACAACCCATATTATGAAAAGGTGAAAGTATATCTGGGTGTTCGCCCCTTGATGTGCAATCTTTCGAGCGTCCGCTGGAGGAGCAGAGCGACAATTTCTTATTCTATATATACGATGTAAAATTGTTTCTCATCCCTTTATTACTTTTTTACTTGAACTTTCATTTCACTGACTGTGGTGTTTGAACGAACTAATGATACTTTTGTACTTGTTGATTGCACGATTTCTAATTCCAAATACAGTACATTCGTTTGTGCTTGTTTCGTACTTCTTAATTCAATTGCGTTATTTCTGGGACTCTTAGTTCGCACTATAATTCAAATAATTCGAAACATTATACTGGCGTCGCGATGGAACCTGCAATGGAAAAGTTGGATATTCATTCAACTTAGGAAGCTTTTGAGGATTATTTGGAAAGGTTTGAAATCTGGAGCATGACTAAGAAAGATGTTAAAGGTGATAAAATTGTGGCACATTTCCTGACATTCATTAGAAGAGAAGCGTACAGCTTAATAAAAACTTTGGCTTATCCAGAAAAACCTATCTCACTTCTTTATGCAACCCTTAAGAAGCTATTAATAAATCATGTAAAATGCACCAGTTTTGAATGCTGTGAAAGGGCGAAATTTCATAAGATGGTTCGTCAAAATTTCGGGAATTCATCCTTGAATTGCAGAAACAAGCTGCCAATTGTAATTTCGGTGATCAACTTCATGTACAACTGAGAGATCGATTAATTGCAGGAATTAACATACCGAGTTTGGAACTCCCGTTTGCTGAAGAAAACATGCTCGACGGTAGAGGCTGAAGATATTCTAAATCGACTTCATGGTTCTAAAGTGTTCTCGAAAGTTGACCTAAAAGATGCTTATCTTCAAATTCCTTTAGATCAATCTTTTAGCACAGGTAAGACCTACCTCTATGCCGATGACTTAAAAGTCATCTATAAAACTGACATTTGCGATTTACGCAGTACTATGCAAACAATCCAACATGAACTCAACATGGTAGATGACTGGTGCAAACGCTGGAGGTTAGAGCTCAACATAGAGAAATGCGGCTGGTTATGTATACGAGACACGTCTCTTAAAATGAAACTAACACTTAGTAATCACACACTGCCCAGACTGGCATCAGTAACTGACCTAGGGGTACATTACTCACACAGTCTTAATTTCTCTGAACACATCTCAGCCAAAGCATCCAAAATGCGGAAATTGCTTGGCTTCATTCTCCGTAATTTCTATCAAAATGAATCTAAAATCCTTCTTTACAAAGTTTGTGTAAGACCTATCGTTGAATACTGCTCGTTCTTATTTTCCAATCTACGCCTATCTAATATACTAAAGGTGGAAGGAATACAACGAGACTTCACCCGCAAAGTACTTAAGACTGACTCGGTCATTGACTACAGTTCCCGATGCCAAATCTTAGGAATAGCACCCCTTTGGGAAAGAAGGCTTAGGTCTAATTTGATTCTCTACTTCAAACTACTCAAAAACCTTACTTATTCAACATGTAAGATAATTCTTGCCCGAGATTCACATTAATACGGACTTCGAAACAAAGTATCTACGGTCAAAGTTGAGAAAAACAGATCAAAAACTCGGGAAAACTTCTTCCTCATCAAGTATGCAATAATATGGAACAGTCTTCCCTCCGAGACTCGCATGGCAGATGAACTACATACGTTTGTGAAACTGCTTGATCAAGCCCTCACTCGCACTGATCTAGCACGGACGAACACATCTGCGCCCCACTCAGACAGCATAGGCTCTCTCCATGTCTAGACCAAAACGGACTTCAAGTTCAGTTTGCCTTATTTTTCCTACTTTGCAGTTGTATTAATTACTTTTTCCACCCTATTTCTTCACTTGAAGTAGACAGGTAACTCACTGGACCTATCATTACTGTTAAACTAAACTCGGTCGATAACGGACACTCACTACCACCCTAAAAAGTCAAGAGGACCGCACAATCGGCTGCCTACTACCAGTGGTCTTGTATCTATGGAACCTGTTACCAATCAACTGGTTAAGACAACAGAAAATAACATCAGTACCAAGTTGCGGTGAGTTCCTTCCTGTTTATCCTGTATTAACATTTTACTCTTCTGTACACTATGTTGACTAGCAATTAATATTATTTCTCCACTCGTTCCCTTATCCACAACTCATACTTCTATACTTTTTCCGCCTGCTTAAATAAACAACTACCCTGCAATATACCTTTCTTAACACTTATACTCTGATTGGCAAACTATACTTTATACTATAGTCAACAGAGGCACTGCATCGATGCTTTACCCGCAGTCCATAGCTTGTAACTGCCTGATAAGCTTGTAAAATGGTACTTATAGAAATAGTGCTTTCCAACAGGTTGTGAAACAGAGGATTGTGTGAGGTATGACGTATATACAAAAAATAAGCCTAAATGAGCCTAACATCACAAAAGGAGGGAGGGTGGAGTTACTGACCAGCAAGCAATGATGGTGAGGGCGATAACTTCAATCCACCCGTGTTTGTGGGGACAGAACATTTTGTATGTATCAGGCTCTTTATAATTGAGAATAAGACAGTCAATCTGAGATATAGATTGTCTTCCTACGCTCACCACTGAGACTCATGTTTCCAATATTATGCTGGATTAGCTATTCTACTAAGACAACCTATAACATGCTAACTCGGACTTTTACACTAGAATTGCGTGGCTGACATCGGATGGACAAAAAAAAGAAAAGAAAAAAGACAATAAAAGATATAGTCACTAGTATTCTTAACACTACACCCTCTATATACACACCCTTCTAATAAACCGCTTCCCTTGTACCAACCTTGACTTCCTTTACTTCATGTGAGCTTACTCCAACTTGTTAAACATCACAACTCATTGTTCTTTATTAGTACATTCTCTAATATGGAGCCTCTGACTTCACTTCACTCTAACAAGACATAATATGAATTTATTCTGATTTATTCTACCTCTGTCCGTACTACTACACAATGTTAAGCAACCTTTGGCGTTCATATCCAAGTGCCTTGCTGCTCTTCTGTTTCTCTTTTTTTTCTTTTTCAGAATCTTGCTCTGGGATCACAGCTATGAAACTTCTGACGTTTGGAGCAAACTTGACGTACGCGTCCTCTCAAGGTCATAGTTTACAGCAAGCGCTCTACGATTTCACTTTATAACAACTATAAACTTAATAAGTTGGGAAGCATTTTGCGAACCAACAAATGTTGTAATTTATAGATCATGCCTGTAAAAACGGTGTGTACCTGCACATGCAGAAATATATTATTATTATCTATTTTGACGACAATTAACACTCCGTTTGGTCTGTTCAAATACAATTTCCTTCCATTTGGTTTAAGTTGTTCTTCAGCCATATTTCAGGAAGTTATGAATAAAGTAGTTAGTGATCTTGAAGGTGTTGAAGTTTATCAAGATGATCTCATTGTTCATGGTTCTAATAAGGTAGTTCATGACCAGAGACTTATTGCTTTATTGCGTCGTTTAATCGAGAAGAATATTATAGTGAATCCAAATAAGTGTTCATTTTGTGTATCGAGTTTCGAATGCCTTGGATACCTAGTTGATGATAATGGTTTTAGACCAGTGTAAGATCCATTTTGAATGTTTTGTGTTGGTGAAAATCCCTCCATGTATATACTTGTACTTTATTCCTATTGATCCCCTTAGTTATACATTGTTGTCTTTTGATTACATTGAATTGTTAATACTTGTATTTTTTTTATTATAGTTTTTGTTTTTCTTACGCATTCACTAAGTTTGTGTTTCTTCCCGAACTGCATCTGTGTTGTTTTACTTGACACTTGTTCTTGGCGGTAGCCATATTGATTTGCTCCTCCTTTTGTGTGTGTTCTATCCAGTCAGGATAGAATAACGTTCATTTGTTGTGACTGGTAATTTTCCCTCATCTTCTATCAACTTCTTTATTTATTGTAATTTAGATTTGATTGATTGAACAATTATTGGTTGAATAGCCGGGTGGTAATATTTGTTTAGGTAACGATTTACATTTAAATTTATGATGAATTATAGAACCGCTATTTATCCGATCACTTGTTTTGATTTCGACGGGAAAGGGCGCGTGTCTAAAGTCCCCGGTCGGCTATTCTTCAACATCCAAACCGTAGTTTGGATTCTACAACCAGATATCAAACGACTAGCTCCACTGACTAATGCACCGTCTCCAAAAAAATCTTACGGAATTACGTTCACTAGTGAGTGCTCTTCAATACTATTCCCGTTTTATTCCAAATTTTTCTTGTCGTGCAAATTGTTTATTTATTATTTTGACATCCAATTCATTCAAATGGAGTGAGGGACAAGAGTCATGCTTACGTAATCTACTAAAGTTTCTTCAAAGTGATGCTTTTCTTCGAACGTACTCCCCTAGTGTACATTCTGTGCTTATTACT